GGCTCAGTTCATGTCATCATTTCATGGTTTGTGAGTTTGAGCCCTGTGTCAGGCTCTGTGGGGACAGCTCAGAGCCTGGAGGCTGATTTGGTTTCTGTGTCTCCCTCTCTTTCTGCCTCTCCCCTGCTCGTGCTCTGTCTCTCAAAAAGAAATAACGTTGAAAAAAATTTAATAGTAATAAAAGAACAATCACACAGCGAAGAAGTTATTGATATTGATATGACTGACTTATTATCAGTGACCAAGTTAGCTTGACAGAACTTACACCAGTCATCGTCAAATGTTTTGTCAAGTTCCCACACACTGAGCACTTCTTGGTTATCCTCTAGAATTGTTTCAGGTTTTTTATTTCAGCCATTAAGATTCCTTGTATCTCCCTTTTGAATACCAGGTCATATTTCCCCCAGCTTTTCCTTTCTTGTGCCTCTCCCATTCTCCAAACATTTTCAAAAGTAAAGAAAATGATTGTAACAATAATTTTAAAATGTGAGATAAAACCTGTGAGTTCCTTCAGGACTCTAGGCTGTAACCCATCTGAGCTTGTTTGGGTAAAAGCATTTAAAGAAGCTTTGTGTTTTCTACTAACGCATTAATATTTTATGCCTTTTCATACAAAGCCATGGATTATTCACCAAAGGCCACAGCCTTTGTAAAGGGCTTCAGTGATTTAGCATAACACATAAAAATATAAACCCACCACAGAGGCAGAACTAGCCAAGAAATAAGAAACTATTAATTGTATAGTCAGCTGACTATATTTAAAAGGGATTTACATGGTGATGTAATGAATAGGAGTCAGGGATGTGAATTCCAGTTCTCACTAAAGACCTTCAATTATAAAATGTGCAGTACTTGTCAGGATTAGATGAGACCATGGATGTGAAATATCTTTGTACACTGCTGAGTAAACAAAATAGGAAGTGGATATTTTAATTTGTATTTTTAAAATTGTATTCAAAGAAATGGAAGGGTGCACTGGACAAAATGTCTTTAGTTCCATGTAAGAAACAACCCAGTTCTGACAGCCTAAACAATGGAAGGAAGGTACTTACCCAATGTCTGGAGGCAGGGGGAGGGCGGATGTGTGGGCTCAATGTCAGCAAGACCTGCTTGCTCTCCTTCTGTTCTCCAGCTCCTCGAGGGGTTTTCTGCTTCTGTGGTCACAAAATGACTGTAAATAGCATTTAGGATATAAGTTTCCTGGTACAAACCTGGAAATAATTAGGTCACAGCCCTGAGAGTTTAAATAACTCCAGGTGCCTTTAGCTCTGATTAGCCTGACTTGGGACATGTGCCCACCCCCTAACCATCCCTGTGGCCAGAAGAGTGGGACAAGATGGACTTAAAGTTAATTACGAGTCATGGCCACAGCGGCTGCTTTGCACAACTCCAGGGGGCAGTGTTCATATATCTCTGAGAAATGGATGCAGGAGAAGCAGTCAACACTGTAGCAGGCTACTACTACTACTACAAAGTCAGTGTTTATACTGGAAGTCCTTTGAGCAGGGAACAGAGCACCCAGCCTCATTAATTGTAGGTTATATCATCAGGAAAAATCCAAGATTTTACCCATTAATATATTCCTCATCCCTGCACAATCCCCTCCCCCAAATTCTCCTCTGAACACCACCCCACCTTGCTTTGTGAATCCAAAGCCCAGGAATATCATCTGCATCCATGATTTTCCCAAACTCCTCTCTATCATTAGCTCACAATGATGAGGTTTCCCCAACATGCTAACAAAACCAAATATCAGTGCAACCTGGTTCTGAGCTCACATGACCTTTAGGTCATGTGATTTTACTGCATGTGTCCTTCCTGTCTTCCTTTTTTTGGAGTCTGTGACCTAAATCATAGTTTCCCTCCTTTCTTCTGGTTCATTTCAGCTTCTTTTACCAATTGCTCTGCTTTGCCCAATAAATGCTGATGTGTTTCTGGCCTCTCCTCTTGTTCCTATTCTCTTGTTCCAAGTTCTCAAAGGCTTCAAGTGCAGTCTTATGTCAATAACTCCCACACATAAACCCACCCCAAACCTTTTATATGTCCGGTCCCCTCTAGGCATCTCTAAGTTACTATCTAAGGATCCCGGAAATTCTGGCATTAAAAACCAAAGTTCTTGTTATTAGTATTCTAAATCAGAATGAAAGCGAGGACCCTGTGGTTTTCTGGACAAATGGTACTAAATGGTACTAAACCATACACTCACCCAAGATGGAAACTGCAATAGTCCTCTACACCTTTCTCTCTTTCGCCTTCTGTATCAGTTAGTGATGCAGCTCTTTCTTTAACATTCTTGCTCATGTCCTCTCATCATCCCCTGGTGTGTGCCCAAAGTATCTTCCTGGATTAGGGCTCTCCTCTAACAGAGGTGGCCTCCCTGTTTCCATTTTGTGCACTGTCTGCACACCAGATGGAAAGGAAATGAGAGACTAAAAATCTGAACAAACCACCCCCCTCATCTCAAACCCTTCCATGGTCCCCCATCACATAGCAGATAAACCAAACTTCATCTAAAGGGGATGCTAGGTGATTTAGTGGACAGAAACTGCAACAACTTCATTGAAACTGAGACAGAGAAACTGAAGGACTCCATAAAAATCTGCTTTTTGCTCTTTCCTGCTTCTGTTCTTGCTCTTTTTCCTGCTTCTGTTCTGTTGTTCTGTTCTGTTCCCACCCCACTATACACATGCCTTGTAATGCAAATAGTGGATGTCCTTCTCGTAACGGACAAGGAGTTAATGATTTCTTTAGAACAGATCACATCTCAGAAAGGACTAGCTGAGAATGACCGCATGAAGCCATCATATGTGTGTTTCAGATCGCCAGCACAAGACATCTTGATGCCAAGACCTCTTGGCTCTGAGGAATAATACCTGGGCCCTTGTCTTTGTTCTACCTGGTTCCTGGATGCCCAAGAGGACACATACACCAGACCACCATCCTTAGTAAAAGCTCCAGACCCCAAATATAGATGAAACTTTCTCTTTTCCTTTCTGAGTCTTCCAGACACTCTGTCATTCTCTCTATATCTTCTATAAACCCTGCTTTCACCTCCTGCTGGCTCGCATTTGATTTCTATCCTGCTCACATGCAGCCAGTAACTCTCTTGGCTGGTCCTGTGGGACCCTGTCTGGGTCCTCTGAGCCTACCTGCTGCCATCAAAACCAGTGAATGAGAACAAGTATTATAGTGAGTTTCAAATCCAGTTCCTCCCTACACCTTGTATCGATCTCCAGCACTATCCTCAATGGCCGATTATACTTTTGTCTCACTCATTGCTCATAATAGCTTTAAGAAGTAGGTCCTCAGTTGGTTGAGCATTCAACTTCAGCTGCAGTCATGATCTCACGATTCATGAGTTCAAGCCCCACATCGGGCTTGCTACTGTCAGTGAAGAGCTCACTTTGGATCCTCTGTCCCCCTCTCTCTGCCCCTCCTCTGCTTGCACTCTCTCAAAAATAAACAAACATTAAAAAAAAGTAGTTTCTCCTATTGTCCCCATTTCATAGACAGTGACACTGAGGGACAGAGTTTAAGTAGCTTGCCAAAGATCATACAAGTAATAGAGAAGGCAAATAAATTATGGTAGCCTAACGCAGGAGTCCGCTTTTTTATATATCCATCCAAGGAATTACATTTCTCAACCTGGGCTCTATTAACCTATCCAGAGATAGGCCAAAAATTACATTGATATTGGATAGATACAGATATAGATATAGATATAGATATAGATATAGATATAGATATAGATATAGATATACAGCTGGGCAAAGGATCCATAGGTTTCCTAGGATTCTCAAAAGAATCCCTGGCACAAACAAAATGGATTAAAAAAAAAGAAGATCTACTCTATGACTGTAAAATGACTTCCAGAAATCTTTCCTGGAAGGCTTTGAAGTTGTAGGGCTTTGAAGCATATTGTGTTACCATTATCTGCTCCTTTGAAAACCCAACACATCTGTGAATTGTCCCCTGAATTTAATAAACTCCCTTCCAACAGCATGTGAACATGGGCCTGGAAAAGCAAGAATGGTGGGTTGTCCACAGAGCTGGGAGTGGCAAATGTCCCTCCAGCCCAAAGGTCACGTGTGCAGTTCAACCTGCAAGTGTAGGACCAGAAGCCTCCCTTCAACAAGGCAAATAAAAAGAGAAAGCCTAAACCACAGGGAAGTCCTTCAAGAGATGTCATTGCTGAAGCCCAGTCACTTGCAGGGAAGGCTGAGTCACATCCAGATTCTCCCAGGTACAAGTGTCTTCAATTGATATGGTCATCTTCTGCAGGGCTGGATATTTGCAAAGTGTCCTGCTTGCCTTGATTAATGACTCTCTCCATAAAGCCAGTCTTGGTGATGACATGACAAAGCTCTTCTGTCCCCATGTGCTAACAGTACAGCGGGACCATTAGCTGCTGGCAAGGATCCCAAAATTGCTCTGAAGATGTAGAAGAATTCTAATGAGATGTAAAGTATCCATCATAAAGAAACACAATAGATATTTCAAAGCTCGTGCTCAATACTTGCACTTAACAAACACGGTCCCTATTTAGGAAACACACATATTCTCTGTGTGAAGGGAGAAAAGTCCTTTCAAATCTTTTCTGCATTTTCTAAATTTTATGTTATGAACATGCACTCTTGCTATTAGGAAAAAGAATTCATTAACAATGTTTTAAAATTTTTCTAATGTCATACACTCTTGTGGTTCTCAAAAGTAGTTTGTTACCAGAATCAGCAGGGGAGATGTGCTAAAATATAGATCTACTGAACCAGAATCCCTAGGGCTGGTCGAGGACCTGGCCAGGTGGTGTCTCAAAGTCCAGAAACTCAGAAGTCAAGACTTCTTGCTTATAATGGACACAGTTGATTACCTACCCAATACACTTCCTATCTTTCCCTTCTTAATAGCACCCAGATTTTACTTAGGTAGCTACTTCTCTTCCTGCCTCCTTCCCCCACCCCCACTCCCAGAGTAAACACAATCCTTCCCTCTTTCAAACACAGGATGGATCTCAGGACCTGATCCGACTGCTGAGACATAAACTCTCTCTGTTGCACCAGAACTGAATAGGAGCCCCAGAATTGCAATGCCTACAACAGCCATCTTCAAACCATGAGGGGAACCAGTCTTAGAGAAGATGACACCTTAGAAACCAGAGTAGGGATCTAGGAAGAAACTGAGACCTTGGTGCTACCACAAAGCTGCTAGACCAACCAATTAAGAAGGCTTTGTCGTCTCTGGATGTCGTCTCTGGTACATGAAATAACAATCCTCTTTATTGAAAAGGCTGACCATATTGTACATGTGTATGTGTTGCACAAGCCTGTGGGCCCCGAACTTGAGTATGAGGTCTGTGACAGCAGAAACAATGTCTCATCCATAGCACACACTTCTTAAATCTAAGAGCTATACTATATCACACCAGACCATACATACCATACCATACGATACTACTATATTGTAATGCCTGCTCTACTATAAGGTCTCAATAAATACTTTTTATTAAGAGGGAATGAAAGACTGAAAAAATAAACAATAGCATTTACATTTAATAAAAAAATACCATGTGTTGGTGAGGATTTGGAACAAACGGAACTCTGAGCCCTGTGAGTGGAAGTGTAAATTGGCATAATAGGTTTGGAAAATAACACAGTGGCTCTTCCTGTAACTACAACTATGACCCAGCAGTTTCAACTCTGAGCATGTACCTATATACCCTAGAGAAATGAATGTATATGTCCCCCAGAAGACTTATACAATAATGCATATAGCAGCTTTATTCAAAATAGATAAAAATTGGAATAAACCAATTGTCCATCACTAGTCGAGTGATATGGTTGAAATATTCTCATAATGGTATATTATGAGTAGCAGACTACTCAGCAAGTAAAAGAACAAACTATTGCTACCCAGGACAACATAGATGAATCTTACAAACTCAATAAACAGAAAAAGCCACACACACACACACACACAATCCATATTACGTGATTCCATTTATGAATTGAAGGTAGCAGAGGCAGAATTGCCACCCTAAAATACTTCCTCTTTGGCATAAAGATTATTTTGAGCTGATTATTTACAAGAAACTGCAGACACAGAGGAGCTCTGAAAACATGGTAGAGTTACCCTTTTCATGGGAAATTTACATGTATAAAGGAAATCTCCATGTGTAAGAGACCCCCTAACTGGAAGAAAAGGATGACTCCAGATCACAAGAAACTATTATCAGTGGAGAAGTCAGGGACTGAAATCTGCATAACAAACCTTACCTTTGTGGACTGTGTTACTGGCAACCTTCCATAAGGGGCCCTCCTCCCCACAAACAGGTGTGTCTTTCATCTTTAGCTTCTTAAAAAACAAAATTCAAATAATTTAAAGATCTACTTGGCTTTTCTCAATGATTCATACATGGAGCAGCATCCCATCTGACAAGTAAAAAAGGAGCTAGCTCCAAGGAGTTTTATAAAATGGAAGACTCTTACAGGTAGAAGGGGCAGGACGAGGAAGTCACTAGTAAAGAGTGGATTATTTCAGGCAAGATCACCTTTTAGGGGCTAGTGGGGGGTCTATCAAGCAGATTACTTCACTAGTGCTGACCAGGTAATTCCAGACTGACAGGTTAAGATGCACAAACCTCAGAAAAGCTGAAAATGAAATTAGATTAGTTATTAAGTTTCAGTTTGGTGAGGAGAGCTTAGTGCAATTGACTCCATTTTGGGCCTTTCTCTCTCTCTCTTTCACAACTTCCCCCTTTTAATCAGACTCTAAGCTCAGCTAAGAGATGGGATCAAACTGTAAAGCATTATTGCCACTTTCAGCCACCACGCTGTAGTTCTCAAATTTTTTTCTGGTTCTAATTGGTATTCACAGGTCATGATGTTTTTTGTTGACTCTCTGTGGTGTTTACAGATCATGACATCAGGTTCCCATTTTATTATTTTATTTTATTTTTTTAATTTATTTTATTTTTAATGTTTATCTATTTTTGAGAGAGAGAGAGAGAGAGAGAGAGGCAGAGCACAATTGAGGGAGGGGCAGAGAAAGAAGGAGACAAAATTTGAAGCAGGCTCTAGGCTCTGAGCTGTCAGCACAGAGCCCAATGCCCAGGAGGTGCCTCTAGGTTCCCATTTTAAGTTGGTCTTTCTCTTTGTTCCTTTTTTGACAATCCAGTCTTGGGGAGATCACTTGCTTTGGTCAGTGGCTGCAAACATGTATTTAAAGCATTTGAGAGAGCAGTTTTCCAAGGAGACTCCTATGATTACTATAAGCAGGATAATCCCCAATGTCTGGAGTGCACTTCAGAGCTGTGGTCCCCACGACCCATCCAATCAAAAGCAAATAAGTCAAAGAAAGACCCTGTTGAAAGCGTAACTTTCTTAAGCCAAGCGGCTTGTTCAGTGATCTTATTTAGCTGAGTTTCAACTTTCCCAGAAATGCTAACCCAGGTACAGCTGTGGTGTTGGTCACAGCATAGACACCTCATTGCTCAGCTAAAAGTTAATCAAAGGCTATCCTATTAGCAAAAACAACTTTGGCCAGTGAGTCTAAGGATCTTTGTTGGTAACTATTGCTATGGCAGCAGATTCTGAAGTACTTTCCAGAGGTAAGGAGAATTTCCTGATCATAGCCTCATTTGTATTCACTCGTAACTAGGGATACAAGGACCTCCAAAGGAAGCAAACCTGAATGATGAAACTTCCTGGTAGGTCCTTTCTAACTTAACAATGTAAATTCAAGGGCGTCAACCAATGAGGTGTCTGTGAAGAGCTACTGGCACTGCCCAGCTGTGTGCCAGCTATCTGAACATCCAAAAGCCTAAGGAGGTGATAACCACCACAGACCAAGATAAATCCTGTCTGAGCACAAACTACTCCTGCTAAGATTACACTATTTCTAGCACCATGGACAGGTCAGAGCTTTTGATGACAAATCCAGCAGTCTGAAAGATTTACCTTCTTTCCCTTAGCAATGTCCTGGGAGATACAGATGATGGTGGTATCTTTCCAGGCCCATGCCAGAGTGAAAGAAACATAGAAAAGAACAATGAGTTTCCTGTTTGGCTAAACTAGAAGTCTTGATCCAGTGTCTTGAGTAGAAGCAGTCTACCTTGATGTCAGCTACTTGTCTTTCTCATCAGTTTGGTTTTGAGCACTGTAGCTGGTATTTTGGTTCCTGGACTCTGAAGGTGCCCTTCTTAATTGGGAAATGTGGGTCCAAGGTTCAAGTCTCTGAATTTTGGCTGCCATCTAGGTAGTGAGGAAGAAGTGTATAGTCTCTTCCAAGGAGATTCAAAGGCAGGCTTTGTTCTTAGTGATTCCAAATCTGAAGGGTGGGAGAAAATTAGAAATGTTTGGAGAATTATAGCAAGATAGTTGAGGAAACTAGAAGAATTCAGAATCTAGTCCAGTTTACAGGTGTATAACAGCCCCTCAAAGGCAATTAACAGGATAGAGTCTAGTATCTATATGGTGCACACATAGTTTTCCTCACTTACATCTCCCCACCTTTTTAACCATGATAATCACAGCAGAACTAATTTATTTGTACTAAACTTGGCCAGGTTACTTACATAAGTACAACAAGAATAATGATATAAGCTCTTTTCAAGACTGCTTTGCTGCAACTTTTCATAAGGAATCTCATATTGAACTCTTAAAAGCCCCTGAGGCCAGGAAGCCAAACCAAGGACTCACCAGTAGATTTAACTTACAATACCTAAATTTTGGATAAATTCTTCACTTCTTGAGGTCCCCCAAAATATTCTGACGTTCTTGGGCTCACCAAGAAGTGATCTACCTTGCTTACCTAGTAAGGCTGCTGGGAACTCTGTAAGTACAATAGTAGGCCAAATTTTTTTGTGTTACTTTTTTAGCGGTTTTAGCTGCCTGGTCATAGCTGAGTTTATACACATCTCTCTCAAATATAACATTCCAGTCAGAGCCTTGGCAATATAGCCAATGTGTCCTATTACAAGGAGAATAGATTCTTATTGAACTTATGCAAATAACTAACTATATCATCATGAAAAGAATACTTAAGAGTTTCTGAATTCTGAAGGGATCAGGTAGGGAGCAAAAGGAAATGTTTCATCTTTGTTTACAAAGGTGTACTTTCTCAAGTTGCTGGAAGTCATAGATAGATTAGGAGAAAAGGTTTCCTTAAATCTGAGGGGGGGGGGAACCATTAAGGAACTAGCAATATTTCAAACAAAAAGTCATAAAAAGTTATAATCATCCTCCTCAATTCATTCAGGCCCATATAATGGACCCTCACTCTGCTTGAATCCAGTTTTACCCTTAGTTCTGGAAATTTTTATCCAGTTATTCTTAAAATCTTAAAGTTAGCAGAGACTTGTACTTGTCAAAGTCCTTTCCATGAATTTCCTTGGAGATGAAACACTTTTACAGGAACATTTTTGCGAAAGTATCAGAGTGAACTGATAACACTCTTAAAATGACAAAGACTGAAAAATGTCTATTGTTAAAGATCTGATGACAGTTCATTTGATAGGGAATTGTAGATATTTTTGTGATCTCTAAGATTTTAAAATAATAACTGGAATTCTGATGGATAACATTCATATCAGACTTCCAGGAATTTCATATAATTTCTGCAACATCCATTATGTATATCTCTACAAATACAGCATAAAGAAGGTATAGTGTTACTTCTTATTTGACAATGTTTCCCATGGAGCTTAACACATCAAATACATATATTTAGTTTAACATTTCTCTTTTTTGTTGTTGTTGTTTGCTTATTTATTTTTTATTTATTTATTTTTGAGAGAGAAAGAGAGGGACAGAGGCAGAGACAGAGTGCGAGTGAGAGAGGGGCAGAGAAAGGGAGACACAGAATCTGAAGCAGGCTCCAGGCTCCTAGGTGTCAGTACAGAGCCCGACACCAGGCTTGAGCCCACAGAACCAGAGATCATGACCTAAGCCGAAGGTGGACGTTTAACCAACTGAGGCACCCAAGTGCCCCAACATTTCTCTTTTTATAGGGAGAAAATGATAAATCTTTTGTCATTTTCTAGGGCCCCTCTGGCAAAAATCCCAAAGTTACTTCCACACCAAAAGCACTTCATTTAGAATTGGGTATTTGGGAATTTTGTCAAAAATATCAAAAGGTTTTGGGGTGCCTAGGTGGCTCATTCAGTTGAACATCTGACTCTTAATTTTGGCTCAGGTCGTGATCCCAGGGTTATGGGTTCTAGCCTTCAGTGGGTCTCTGCACTGAGCATGGAGCCTGCTTAAGATTCTCTCTCTCTCCCTCTCTCTGGCTCTCTCCCTTGCTCGCTCTCTTGCTTTCCCTCTAAAATTAATATATATAATATAGAATTATATATATATAAATTAATTATATTAATTAACTACTAAGATTTATATATAATATATAATTATATATTATATCTAGATATCTTGAAAGGTTTTTCAATGCTTGGTCAAATAAGATCTTGAGGCACTGGGAAACAATACTTAGTTATCCATTTAACCAAAGTGACAATTAA